ATATTGTAATCATCAGTGAGTGATAAGATAAGTCTTGTTCTACCACCTCAATTTTAAATCGAATGAATGAAGTTCAGATTAGCAAGCATATCACTTACATCTGTCTGTAGAAGAGGAAGATAATTGTTTATCTTTCCTAGACGACATATTGCTTAGTCGACTGATGGCTTGATGGGTCAATAAAACGGTGATCTACCATCTTCAAATGACATTAATTTTGTCAAATATGCTGATGACCTAACTGTATCTTTACCTGTCAAATGTCAAAGTGAGTGCTCTAAACTGAATGGCTTTTTATCAGAAATCAGCCAATGGTCCAGAGAAAACGGTCTCACCTTAAACCCCTCCAAATGCCAAACAGTTAATTTCACCTTTAAGCACAAATCTGACCTAAACAAACTGGTTAGCACTCACGAGGTGTGCAACATAGATGGCACTGAAATTGAAACCAAGTCGGAAATTAAATACCTAGGCGTCACTCTATCTTCTGATCTTTCCTGGTCGGCTCATATCTTGAGGATTTCTAAGAAAATATTCCGTCTTACCTTCTACATCAAGAAGTTAAGACTTTCTGGTGTAACCCAACCCTTACTCCTACAATTTGTTAACTCCCGTATTCTGCCTATTATTCTCTATTGTTCCCCCCTAGTTTTTCCTGGGCTATTGAAGAAAGACTATGCCTTATTACGCAGGATGTTAAAGGTTGTCAGCAGGGTAAGCAGTTTGCCACTTAGTCAGCTTGTTAATATTCTGGTGGACAGGCACATGGACACATGTGAAAAATGGGTGAAATCCATTTTATCTAACTCACAACACCCTCTACATTCACAACTCTCCCCATGTATCTCTTCAGGGAAAACCAGAAGCCTATATAGGAAACTATATGCCCGCACTAGTAAGTACAAAAACTCATCCATACCCTACCTAGCTCGTGTTCTGTGCGATAAAGAAAGCATTAGGCGTGAAACCTATAACTTATTAAATAGTCAGTAGAACAAATGGATCTCGTCTTTCCAACTCACATCATTTACAGGTACAACGTTTTTCTCTCTACCTTTTTTTTCTTTGTGTATTTATTTTTGTTATGTGCCGTTTTGTTTCTCTCTTCCTTGCAAACTCTACTTAAGACATTCTTGTTTCGTTCTTTCACACTCTGTATATCTCGACCATTTTGCTATCGCTTACGCCAGTAAATATGCTAGTAGTATCTACTTTTCTAACACCTTCAAACACTCTGTTTAATTTTGGCTTTGCTACCGACATGCTACTGATATGTTGTTGTCAAAACTGACTGAGATAACTTTTAATCTATGTAGAACTTTATTTATTGTTAATGTACTAACTGGATGCGCAATAGTGTAGTAAAATGCTGAGAATTCCATTCTGTATCACAAGTACTGATTTGGAATAAAGCTATTATCTTAAAAAAAATCTATTTATCGAAAATCTACCTACCTGGACAGGATAATATCTTAACTACCACAGTTTCTGCCTGCCCTCTTCAGTATAAAAGAGCCTTACTGAGTGAGTGAGGTGCCTCTTCAGTAGAATTCAACGAATATGCACTGAAGACAGACACAGCTGACGATGAGGAAGAAACAAAGTTGACACAAACTCTGGTTGATAACAGTTTTCCAGACAAATTCATCAGGAGATATTATAAGGAGTAGTCAGTGGAACACCAAGACCCATTCACTCTACAACTCGCCCCATGAAGAAAGACGTGTACATCAAGTCACCTACCCTATACATGGGCAGGGGATCATAGCTGCTTGATAACTAGACAAAGATTGAACGTCATTGCGGTTTAAAAGACTTTTTATGCAGCTAATATCATAATAATTGAGAATGTGAAGCCAATACATTCATCCATCTAAGCCCGTTAAACATGCAAATGTACGTGTGGACACACACACAAATAGGGCGGACTCATCTATCTCTGCAAGTAAGGGTTGCCTCACTGACTTCAAAGCATATTCCTAAATGTCTCCAGAAACAAATGGAATCTTCAGAACCCATTAATGGTGAGAATAGACGAAGACCCAGCTAGCTCCTCTATTACGAAACATCTTGTAGAGGCGACAGGACATGACATTGACGTTAACTAACACATCTTTTAAAGGCCGATCTATCTATAAAAGCGTGTTTGGGTGAGAGCAGTTAGGAAGTTGAAACCACCTTTATGCGTTCAAAACAGCAATTCGTCATCACGTTAAACCTTCTTTGGTAAATTTTGTTTTGATACTGGCCAGGGTAGATGTACTATGTTACCCCTGTTATTTGGTTTAGTCATTATTCACCTTGTTATGTTATTTTCACACCTTCAATATGTTCTCCTTTTAACTTGATCTAAGGAGTCTATATTCTAACCTCCAAACTCTTTATTAATTTCATATATTCACATTCCTATGACAAGTCCGTGTGTGTGTGTGATAGATCTGATTGTGCGAAATGTGTGTTGCGCGCGCAAATATGCACATTACACACACAATTCAGACAGACAAATTACGTCTTCTTAATGATATAGAAAATGAAATCCCCATTTAGACATTTAGAAAACAGAAAGATTGAGCTGAGCGAAGAAATATTTTTACTTTTCAATTAGATCCCCCCCCTCATCTCACTCTCTGGCTCTACTCTACTCTAATATACACACATGTGTAGCATTTTAATTACAATACACAACAACAAACAGTTTACCAATCATTAAGTGGCACTGATAGGTTTGTTTGTTTGTTAACAATAATTAGTCAGTCAGTGTCAACATTGTTGACCAGGCAAGGCGTGATAATTAACGAAGAAAACTGATGAATACACACACAGTCAGGAAGGTAGAAGTGGTTAGAATAAATTAATTTTACAAGGATAACACGTAATTAAAGAATGAAGTAGTCAGAAAAATAAAATAGAGGTCTATTTTAGCCCACCTTGTAGATAGATAGTGAGCATAAGGTAGACGACGTTAATACAGCATTTAAAATTATTTATTGCATTCCGACTAATCTTAATTTCGCTCTACGACTTCGTCTTCTACATACAACAGCTGAAGCAATAGGAATCCACCTGACGAAGAAGAAGCCAAACCTATATGGGTGTGTGTTCAGAAGAAGAAATTTGTACAGCCACTTTCCTTACCTTCCTTGGCCATCGTTACATGAGCGCATAAACCGGACCGACTACTTCGCCTCCCCCTCTCCCCCTAAACCTTTAAAAATTATAATTGTTCAAAGTATTTTATTATTTTCTCTGACTACTTCTTCATCTTTAATTACATGTGTTATCCTTGTAAAAATTATTTTATTCTTATAACCCCTTCAACCTTAGTTACAATTTATCATTGTTCAAATCGTGTTCTATTTTCTTTACCAATCTGTCACTGAGGTATCAACCTGTGCACACACACACACACACGCTGACTCCTTAATTACTCTTCACTTATATTCCAAAATTATGCATTATGCAATCCACAGGTTGTATGTATGTAACCACTTCTACCTTCCTGACTGTGTGTGTATTCATCAGTTTTCTTCGTTAATTATCACGCCTTGCCTGGTCAACAATGTTGATACTGGCGGACTAATTATTGTTAACAAACAAACAAACCTATCAGTGCCACTTAATGATTGGTAAACTGTTTGTTGTTGTGTATTGTAATTAAAATGCTACACATGTGTGTATATTAGAGTAGAGTAGAGCCAGAGAGTGAGATGAGGGGGGATCTAATTGAAAAGTAAAAATATTTCTTCGGTCAGCTCAATCTTTCTGTTTTCTTATTAATTGCTTTATCTAAATTCATAAAGGGAATTGATGGTTTTAAAATAAAAGACAGATTCAGCGAAGAAAATGCTTCTTCATCGGCGAAATCATCTTCAGAGGCTGGCTGTACAGTCGTATTTATACTTAGAAAAATGTATAGTGGTCCATTACTTAGTAATAGGGGGGGGTGACATAATTGATGTAATTAATCAGAAGTGGCATTAGATGTGAAAATTAAAAGTTGTAAATTACATGGTACTAAACGGAACAAAGACAGAAGTTAGAAAAGGTTAAAATTGCTCTTGAGTGAGAATAAAGGTATTTGAGTGTCAATTTAACAAGTGTGAAAATATACAAAAGGAGCATATGAAACTGATAATAGTGAATTAATTATTAAAGCAAAAGCAAACTAAAAGTAAAATTAAAGATTAAGAACAAAAGAAAAAATCAAAAATTTTTTACAGGGAACAATAAGTGAAGAGGTTCAGGCCAAGGTAGAATAAGAGACTGGACAAACGTTTTCTGTATACAGAGTTCAGGGTTGTATTGATGTATTGCCAGCGCCTCCGCCCCATACACAAAAGCCGAAACCTGATACCCTTTGTATAATTTGGCTTCACTTTTTAGATGATGTTGAAAGACGACTCTGGTGGAGCTACGTAGCTTGAGTTCACCAAATCCTCGAGAATCGAGCTAGTAGTTGTCTTGCATTGTCCTTTTGCTAACCTAGCGTATCGGATAATATTCAGAGATGCGTTTGGAAAGGGTGCGGTCGCTTTGTGCGGCCAATATACAGCCTCTGAAGGCAGATGATTTCGTCGATAAAGAAGCATTTTCTTCGCTGAATCTGTCTTTTATTTTCTTCATAACTCCTCAATGGGTATTTTCCGTGTTTTAAAATAGATACTATCCAGTTATTGAATTGAATTTTTGATTTTCCCATCGATTGATTGGACTGAAGTGCCCAAGTGGTCTAGTGGATAACGCTTTGGAGTTTGAAACTATGGGCACTGGGTTCGAGCCTCAGTGGGTACATCATCATCACTCACTGATAGAAATGCAGGTACATCCAGTGGCTGACGAGTCCCAAATAGGACGAAATGCGCTTTATCCTGGATTTCACTGCTAGTTACCATCCACCAATTAGATACTATCAGGTTTTATTGCATATTATCGAAGTAGTAGTAATAATAATAATAATAATAATAATGGATTACATTGTTGTTTTCCTTTCTCGTTTCTTAGAAATTTGTATTGAACAAGGAAGGAACGCACGCTATCCCCAAACATCTTAAATTACACACCAACTCAGATTTTCGCAAAAAAATATGGTTTTAGTCCAGTACATCGTGTTACGTCGTGATTTGTTAACTCTTTTAAAATGGCCCCTTGGTGCATTCATTACACAAGGCTGTCATGCATCGACTGCAGCAATCGCCACCTTCTACTGCCATTCAGACACTGTAGCCTATTTGGCTCAGTTGGACAGAATGCATAAAGTCACTCTGGGTGTTGATAATGAAGAACACATGAAACAGATAACTGAAAAGCTAAAAGATGCTGGTATTGATCATTATTTATGGGTGGAACAACCAGAAAATATTTGTACTGCATTGGCTACACGACCCTACGAGAAGTCAGAAATTCAATCATACTTCAAAGGATTAAAATTGTTGTCATAAGTAAAAAAAAAAATTTTAATGCTAAATTATTTCTCAATATATTGGCATATTGATTTTTGTTGATATGGTGGATAGTAGCGTATTTTTGTAATATAAATTGTTTGTATGGAAAGTTAGTGTCCTTGTGTGTGTTGTGTTCTTGTTTGATAATAAAAGAAGCTTCATCCAGTTTTGCGGTATTGTCGAATAAATTTTAAAAGAATGGATAGATAGTGAACGGTGCGTCGGTGGCACAGTGGTTAGGACTCTCGCTGACCATGATTCACATGGTCCGGGGTTTGAGCCCACGCCGACGCACACCTGATATCTATGGTCGGCCTGTGAAATTTCGGCTACCGATATCTATGCGGAAAATTCCATACTTGAAGCGAAAATACGGTGTGGAATCAAGCTGTAAATCTAAAAATCTAAATCTAAAAAAATCAAAGAATAAATACTCTTTTCGATAACCTCTTCTTCATGGTCATCAGGCTCTACAGTTATATATCCATCCATTACAGTCAATGAATGAATGAGTGAATTAGTGTTATGAACAACAACATTCATGTTGCTGTTTAAATAACATCGAATCAATAATAATAATGATACCAATAGTGGATTACAGTTCAATAGCATCAACATAACAATACACACTGAATGTCAGACAGAGAAATTAGGAAAGATAATATTACAAATTCATGAATTTCTAGTCTCTACCCACTAAAGTCCGGTCAGAGCAGTAGTAGTGATTGGCTAGCTGACTGGAATTGCTTCTTCTCCACACAGAGCACTCACTGGTTGTTTGAGGTGAATTGCAATAGCTTCTGGTGTTTACAGCATGTGGTGGATACTTTGATGATGATTTTGTCAATTTGTTAGGCACCGGTAGATGATGATGATGATGATGATAGAGAAGGATTCTTCCACGCTGACTAGTTGCCTGTCTTTGTTGCTGGCCGGCCGGTTTGCATCAGATGGTCCAATATCGAACTGTTCATGATGGTTTTCACTACACCCTTACTTAGCCATGCTGGGAGATGTTCTCGACTGACCACAAAAAATCAAGTTCCTAGAGCAATAACAGCCGATACAACTCGCACCAACACAAGCACAGTTGCAGTTGAATTGGTAGATGCAATTTGAAGTGGCCAGCTAGTTTGGTCTCGGTACATCATCTTTCAGTCGAGGTAGCACCATTAGTCATGTAGAGAATAAGGCGTGTAGTTCACCGCCAGCATTAAAAGTTATTTCAACTGATTTTTTTAATTCCTTCGTAATCATATCTCACTTGGTACATTGATTGCCCTTGAATTGCAGTCGTATATAAAGAGGCTTCTTGTTTACGGATGGATAGTGAGTAGTCCTTTTCCGCTGCTTTCTTTGTCATGTGTTTCTTGATAAATTTGTTGGGATAGCTATTTTCGATCAACTGAAGTATCATATACAATGCTTAATTCATCTTGAATTACTTCTTCTGAGCATATAGCTCTAACTAACTATGTGGCTGAGTTAGGGTCTTCATGTAATTTCTTTTATACTTGAGAGAAACGAAGCTGTGAAAATGTGTTTTACATTGTCCTGTCCAAATACTTTTTCTGTGTAAATTTCTTTTCATGCTACCATCTGGTTTCCTTGTAAAGGGTACATCCAGGAAGGCAATTCTGTCTTCAGATTCCTCTTTGCACATGAATTTCAAAGCCGAATATACTTCATTGAATTCAGTAATTATTGTACTCCTATCCGTATCATTATCACAAAGTTTGAAGTTGTCATACATATACCAGTAATAAAAATGAGAACTTACTGATAAGGTGGCTGTTCAAAGGTCCCTTAAATTAAATTTGCTCAAAATGTTCAGAAAACTGCGTTTTATTAGAGTCTTTACCTACAAAGATTGTATCATTTGCATAATGTAGACCATTAATTTGAGCCCTGGACGTTTTTTGGCTTTGAAATGTGATTCTGATCAGTTCGGTCAGAAAATCCATTAACTATGAACAACCACGGTAGAGTGCTACCCACTTTGAGTGGTTCAATAGTTTATAAGTTTTATTTAGAAACAAAAGTGACTAGAAATTGTGGATGCCATTATTTGTGACAACAGAAACTATTTGTAAACTATTGCTTTTCATTTATTATTACATTGGACAGTGAGCAACCGTTTTTGCATGAGAAAAAACAGGCCTTATTCTTTTTGCGCATTGTTAGTGTGAAACAAAAATGCATACTTGATGCATGCGGTGCAATGGTGTATATCAATTTAAGCACTAAAGGACTTGTGGTGAGAGCTGTCTGCTAGCCAACATGGGTAGACAGTAATTTACGTCAATGTTTATGTCCCAAATATTGATCATGTGAAAACAAGAAGAAGAACACAGACTGACTGACTGACTCAACAACCAATCAGAGAACACTTTCTCCGCGTAGGCGGATACAATTAGCAGAGAGCGGATGATAGATGACCTGACCTTGAAGAAACAGCCACAGCTAAGGAGATGAAAGATTAACTTTCTTTGAGAAAGCGACCAATCAGAAGACTGTGTTTGTCTTCTAACAATAATCAATAATAATAATAATAATGTACCTGAAAATTCGATAAATGTGTTGATTTCCTTAATAAAGGATCTATTGCCTGACCTTTGTCTTCTGTGCGTCGGTGGCACAGTGGGTAGGACTCTCACCGACCATGATTCACATGGTCCGGGGTTCGAACCATCGCCGACGCACACCTGGTATCTATGGTCGGCCTGTGAAATTTCGGCTACCGATATCCATGCGGAAAATTCCATACTTGAAGCGAAAATACGGTGTGGAATCAAGCTGTAATAAAAAAAAATAACAAGACTCATTTTATCGCGAACCGATATCAATTATGGGAATACTGGAGACAAAACAGAAGTGGATGCTATTTCATCATAGATTAAGACTTTTAAGCAGTACGTATATATAAGATCCAGTTATCAAAAATAACAAGACAAGAAAGTGTCTTGTCAGTCATCCATCCATTTCCTTTAATTCCTAGAGGAATATAGGGCTTCAGCTGCACGTCTGCATTGTGTTCAGTTCTCTGCTAAAGTTGGAATAAAGCAAGAACCACAGTGGCAGCTTGTGCAGAATAAGAAAGTGGTACCATCATTGCTGATCTCGTTGGCTTCTCATCAGCTGCTTATACAGCCTAAAGAAATTATGAGGTTTACCTACGGAAAATTTTTAACATACTTGCAAATTTCACATGTTGTCAGTTGACAGAAAGTTCCACAATTAGTGAGTGAATAGTGCTCAGAAAATTGCGCTTATATAATTTTTACACAGGCAGTTCAAGTCAAAATAAATGTCTGCATACAATGGTAAAGGCGTTACGTAATAAGGACGAGAGGTGAATAAAATGATGAGTGAGGTAACAATGTACTGGGTTCAAATCACGTCATAGAAACAAGAGACAAACAAAATAACAGATTCTAAAAAAAGGCGTGAGGTTAAAGACAAAGATTGCGTAATCAGATAAGAGAATAGAGACGTCCAGTTACCAGGGCAAGGAAAGACTAATAACTGCTTCTCCTTGGACACATAAATCTGGTATCAGGCGTTTGATAGAAATTTCCTCGGTAAACTTGAGGAGAATGAAGTTCCTTTGTCTATTGATAATTTTAAAGGATTTCTCTATTTCCACCTTATGACCAGTGTCGAGGAGATGCCTGGCGATGGTACTGTTTAAAGCATTCGTTTCCTTTAGACGTAAGCTTTTTGGTACATGTTCAGAAAATCGTAGATATGCCCTTCTTCTTTCTGTGCTTCCAATGTAACTGCTTCCGCAGATACATGTAAATTTGTGTATTCAGTTGGAGTTGTTAACATGAGAAGGATATCTATCGATTTTTGATTGCACCAAAGGGAGAGCAAGTTGTTCGATAGACAGGGACGAGCTTTGCTGCAGGATAGGCTATGGCTAGTGGCCTTCTGTTGATCATCGCTGTAATGTTTTCACCTTTATAATCAAGCTGAATGTGGATTGCCCTTTTTCCCACTGTGATTTGTTTTACATTCGTGACTTGAGATCTTCCATACTTGTTGATGAACCATTGCTCTTTGATATTTTTTCAAGAAACTCTAATTTCTCTATAGAGTATATTCTCCTCGCTGTATACTACAGAGTCTTGACCAGACCGCGTTTAAAGCTATTTGGACAAAAGCTCTTAAAATGTAAGTAGTGCCTTTTCGAAGTAGGCTTTCAATAAATTGACTTTTGAAGACTATCGTCTTCTAGGCGTTGCATGGCAATGTCGAGGAAGTGGAACATTCCGTCACTTTCGCATGCTGCATAGTAAACTTAATATTGGTGTGTGTATCATTGAATAATCTGAGTAAGTGTGAAGCATGAATTTCATTGTTGCACACTACAAATGTGTCATCAACGTATCGACAGTAGGAAGTTTGTTTCGTCGATTGCATGCTTCAACTTTGTTTTTTCAAGGTTGGACATGAAGATATCCGCTAAGACAGGGATAAGTGGACTGCCCATAGCTACACCATCTATTTGGCGATGAAGAGTGTTGTCGAATTGAAATTGTACATCCATGGTACACATAACCAGTAGACACCCGTTTGAATTCCGACTCTGGCTGGGAGTGGGAGAAGATCAGACTGCTGACAAATGATCTCAATAGTTTCATTGATTGGAATCACTGTGAACAAGGAGGTTACATCAAATGGCACCATGAACTAATTTAAAACGTTCATGTGGTTCACATTTTCACCGAAATGAAATGAGTCTTTCTCTGCTAAAGTTTTCACATGGCTCCAAATCTGCCCACATGATTTCATCTCCTCTTCACATGACCTCCTCCAAGTCACCCTCACACTGACGACCGACTCGCCGCTTCCCTTTCGGGTTCCACTCGAGCAATGGTTTGTCTACTAATGTCACTTGATGGTTTGTTTTCTCAGAGTATGGCCAGCCAATCCACCTCCATTTCTTCCTGCTGATATTTGTCGCACAATCGGTTCCTGCTGTGTTGGTTGGTTCGCTGATTGCCAGAGATCCTTATTGCTGATCATTTCTAGTTGACTATCTGATCTTGAGTAGAATTGAGGGAAGACAGTTAGCTGTTAATGAAGGTCTGTAGTTTGTTTGAGGTGCTGTTCATGACGCGCTGGCCACGTCTCTGATCCGTATTGTGAGTAGCA